ATGTCTAAGACTTCATCTTTGTGTTTCATTGTATAAATCCAAACTCTTCTAGAGAAATCATCAATGAACGACACAAAGTAGTGTTTACCTCCCAACGAAGCAGTCTTGGAAGGACCCCGTACGTCGGTGTGGACGTAGTCTAGAATCCCTTTGGTACGGTGAATTGCAGTACCAAACTTGATTCTTGTTTGCTTGCCCAATACACAATGCTTGCAGAACTCAAGCTTCCCCGTCTTGGCGCCTTTCAACAGGCCTTGCTTTACCAACCCTTGTAAAGCCTTCTCACCGACATGCCCTAGGCGCATGTGCCAAAGTTTGGAAGTGTCTGATGCATCATCTTCTGAGCTGGAACTGGTGGAGACAACCACTTTCCCTGTGACTGTAGAGCCATCTAGGAAATATAAATTTCCCTGTCGAGTACCCTTCATTGCAACCAATGCTCCTCGAACAACTTTAAGAACTCCACCTTCCATGGTTACTCTGTAACCTTTGGAGTCTAAAACTCCCACTGAGATGAGATTCTTGGTTAGATCTGGTACATATCGTACATCTTCAAGAATTCTGATTGTTCCATCATGTATCTTCAGTTTAATTGTTCCAATCCCCTTTGTCTGGCAAGCTTGGTCGTTGCCCATCATCACAACTCCTCCATCGAACTCTCGTAAGCTCGAGAACCACTGCTTGTTAGGACACATATGGAATGAACATCCGGAATCTATTATCCATTCATCCGACTGGCCATATGATGAAACTGTGAAGGCTCCTCCTTCATCATTATCTCCATCTCGTGCAATATTCACATTTTCTTCTGTCTTGTCTTTATTTGGACAATCTTTTGCCCAATGTCCCTTCTCGTGACAAGCTGCACACTCGTCTTTTGCAAGACGTCTTTTGTCTGAAGGTTTCCCCCTGGATTTTGAGCGAGACTTTCCTCGCCTTGTATTTCTTCTGTTATTTGTTCTGCCTCTGACTGTTAATGCCTCGGATGTCGAGTCCCTGTTTGCAGACTTATCTTTCCTTCTGAACTCATTGTTCACCAAGGCGTTTGCAACATCAATATACTTGATCTTCTCTTTACCGTACAGTAAAGTAGTAGTGAGATGATCATACGAGTCAGGCAAGGAATTTAACAATAACAGTGCTTTGTCTTCATCACCAACGTGATCATCCAAATTCTTCAAATCCGTAATAATTTTGTTGAAGTTATTTAGGTGTTCGTTCATCGAAATACCTTTAATGTAGTCGAAACGAAACAACCTCTTCCTCAAGTAGAGCCGGTTCTCAATGCTCTTTGTCATGAACTTATCTTCCAGCGCCTTCCAAAGCTTCTTCGTAATATCATATTCTGTAAAGGCATACTTCTCCTCTTTTGCAAGGCAAAGTCGGATGGAACTGCAGGCCAGGAGATTCACTCTCTCCCATTCTATCTCGTCCAGGTCATCTGGTTTGTCTCCCAGAGTGAAGTGCAGGTTCATTTGGACAAGCATATCCTTAACTTCGCATCTCCACATGCTGAAGTTGCTGCTTCCATCGAACTTCTCCACCTCGAACTTGGCATGGGACACCGGGGTCCAATGCCTAGAAGTGCTTGGACTGGCTGAATTACTTACGGACTCGGTTGATCTAGATTCTGCCATTTTTTTTTTAGAAACTTCAATTCAAAAAACTGACCGTACAGATGTGTCCGGAATACTCCAAATAGTTGGGAAGCACTATTGGATCGTCAAAAACGGACTCCGAATGGCTCCGATCTGGCAAAAACACTTTGGACGGGTCAGATCTGCAAAATCTGGTGCGCTGAGATGCACCGGATAATTTCTTCAGTCAACAGCTGGTCAATGGCTCGGTCAACGGCGCAAGCGGCGCGGTCAATGGAGGATCGGCGGCGCGGTCAACGCGGCTCCGGCTCAACGGCTCGGCTTGGTCAACGGCTCAGGCTGACTAGGCTGACACGTGGCCTGTCAGTCGGACACAGGGCGCTGACGTGGCGGGATGACGTGGCGCTGACGCGGTGCTGGCGTGGCGCTGACGTGGTGCCGCGTGGCACTGACGTGGTGCCACGTGGCTCGTCTTCTTCCTGGAGACGCGCGTGTGGCGCGTGGGAGCAACTGGGATCACGCGTGCCGCGACTGTGGCTGACGCGCTTTGTTCAGAGAGCGCATGAGGGCGCGTGTGGAGGCTTCTGGGCTCTGTTTTTGCTGTTCTGGACTCCTCTCGGGGAGTTCTTCCTCCTGGTATGGTCAAAAGTGGATTTTGAGCACTTCGAAATCTGGGCACTTTCGGGAAAAATTCGATTTTTCGCAACCCGAGCTCTGATACCAATTGTTGAGGATCAGGGACACACCAGGGAACTCAAACAAGCAATAACACACAAGATTTAACGTGGTTCGGCAAGTCGCCTACGTCCACGGGCAGCGGATTCACTATATTAAACAAAATGGTAAGAATTACAACACTCTCTGTAATTCTCTCTCTCTCTTTGCTCTCTAAGCTCACACCTCTCAGTTGTGTTTCAACTCTCCTTAGCTTCTCTATATATAGAGATTACAAATGCAAGAGAAATTGAGCTGGCTGCCAGCCCATTTCGGTGGCTTTCCAGATTGCTTCATGGCCTCATGGCCTCATGGCCTCATGGCCAACTCACATGGCTTCCCCACCATGTAGCTGGCTGCTACTTTCCTTCATATGGCCAGAATCTCTGTAGCCAATATTCAACATTCTCTTTCTCTCCCGTGAACGTAGGCATTGGGCTGGAGCACGCAAATATTTGTCTCCTTAGTGTATGTGATTGTATGTTAATTATCTTTCTGGATGTGTTTAATCCCAACAAAAATATTTGGGCAGTGTATATCAATTTGATGCTTTTGTCACATTTCTTGCAGTTAGTAATAAGATATATCAATCTCAGTGGGCAAGTATCAATCACCATCTGCTTTAGGTAAAACATCTGATCAAACCAAGACCATCTTTACTGTACAATGCGCAATTATTGCAATAAGATTAATCCCTAAGGACTAAGAGCATCTCCAACCCATCCTCCATATCTTTAAATATGGAGGATCCTCTCCCAAAACAACTCCAACCCATCCTTTATATCCTCCTCCAGGAGGATGAATTGATCCTCCAAATATAGAGGGAGGATGAAAAAATAGAGGAGACTCTAAAACACTATTCACTCTATATTTCTTAATTATTTTCGAAATAACTTTTAATGTGTAAATTTAATTTTTATAAAATTGACATCAATAAAAAGTATGAAATCATACCTTTAAAATGAGTATAATATTAAATACGTTTTGCAAAAATTTTAAAATTAAATATTTATTAATGAACAAAAATTACTTTTTGATTGGAGTTTGAATGAAGGAAATGAAGGTTTGTGGTTGGAGTTTGAATGAATAGTGATCTCCTCTATATTTACTTTTTGAATAAAAAATATTATTTTCATCCTCTTGAGAAGAGGATGTGGTTGGAGACGCTCTAAGTAGCATAGAACATCTTCAATGGTCACAGGAAATGTGCCAAGACATTAAAGATGTACAACATCACCAATTTGACCACCGATCAATTTTGATGATGTATTGCAACCTTATAAGATAAATTATTTATTTATGTTTGTCAACAACTTTAACATAAAATCAACAACCAAGAGTCAAAAAACTAAAATTAATATCTATTCCTTAGTTGCAAGAATCGTGCAAGGTGGTGACGAATCTTTGTAAGAAACGCGATTCCACGTTTCTTAGAAAGAAACGTGTAGGAATCGCGTTTCTGTAGAGAGAGAAACGCGTTCCTATCCAAGATAGGATCGTTGGTGGAAATAAAACAACTCAGAAGCAATAAATTAAACTCAAAATATGGATCTGAAGCAGATTTTGGGTAATGGATCTTAGGCACAAATACAAAAAAAAAAAAGCAAAAATACAGAATGAGAAACTTAGAGCATCTCCAACGGTGTATTTCTTTTTTCATCAAATCTGAGTAAAAAATGATCCATTTCACCAAATCTGATACCATTAGCTCTAATGGTGAACTTTCATCAAAAGCTGTGCCGGGACAACCGGTTGGTTAACTGGCCGATCAACTGGCTGGTCGACCGGTTAAGCCAAAAAAAATTTTTGGATCTTAGGCACAAATACAAAAAAAAAAAAGCAAAAATACAGAATGAGAAACTTAGAGCATCTCCAACGGTGTATTTCTTTTTTCATCAAATCTGAGTAAAAAATGATCCATTTCACCAAATCTGATACCATTAGCTCTAAATGGTGAACTTTCATCAAATCTGTGCCGGGACAACCGGTTGGTTAACTGGCCGATCAACCGGCTGGTCGACCGGTTAAGCCAAAAAAAATTTTTTTATTTTTTTTTGAATTGTTTGAACCTTTTAGTGGTCGACCGGTAAAGCAAATTTTTTTTTTTTTTTTACTGTTTGAACTTTTTTGGAACTGTTTGAACTTTTCGGTGGTCGACCGGTTGGTCAACCGGCCGGGCAACCGACTGGTTGACCGGTTGGTCTCCCCCAACGGTCATAAATAATGTTTTGATGAAATCAGTATTGTGTCCTCAGTTTGATGAATTGTTTGGTAAAATCTCATTTTGATATCGATTTGGTGCAACCGTTGGAGCATCAAATAGTAACTTTTTCACTAAATTTTGAATTTAATGTCAACTTTGATGAACCATTGGAGATGGTCTTACAGTAGAGAAGGAAACGGTCGCGATCTCTGTCTCTCGGTCTCTATCTCTTGATCTTCACCTCTTTCTCTCTCTCTCGTTTTCTCTCTCTTCTTTCTCTTTCATTCATGACATATATATATATATATATAATATGGGTTTTGATTTCATAAAATGGGTTTTGAAATGGATTTAATTTGGGAAATGAGTGTTGATTTTTCATACTTTTTGAAAAGCTTTTGAAATGGGTGTTGATTTCTTATGATTTGCCAAAATCAAATCACAAATTTCAAAGAAAATAGAGTGAAAAAAAAATAAGAGTAAGAATGAACGAGAAAGCAGGGACAGGACTCATTGCCGCCTTCGCTCCACAACTGCCCACCACCATTGAAGAGGAAGATCGAACAAAGGAAATAACCAGAGGTTTGTTATTTGAGCTCTGAGAGGAGATGGTATTTGTTGACAGAAGAGAGGAGATGAAAGAAGGAAATGAGAAAGAGAGACGTTAGAGAGAGAGAATGAGTGGGGAAGGTGTAGAGATAGAGACAGAGTCAGCAAGTGGGTGCAATAAGCAGAATGAGAATGGGGGTAGATGGAGAAAGAATGAGTGGGAGACAAGAGAGGAAGGGAGTCAGCAGAAAAATAGAGAGAAAGGGGGAGAGGAAGATTAAAATAATTATATTTAGTGGGAGAGAGATTGAATAATTATGTTTAATTTAAATAAATAATTATAGAGTGTTTGAGTTGGTTTGTATTTCAAAATATACTTTTTAAGAAATTTTTTTAAAATTTTGTTTGGTTCAAATTTTTTGATTTTTTTTTTAAATCACTCTCTCTCTTATATATATCAATTAATTACTTTTTCTTTCACACACATGTACTTAACTATAACAAAATATCAAATCATTACAAACTCCCAAACTCCAAAACTATTTTCAAAATACACAACCAAACAAACTAAAAAAAAATTTAAATTCTCTCCCTAAAACTTTTTTGAAAATTTATATCAAAACACAAACCAAATACACCATTTTTTTTTTCAACATATATATTTTTTTATTTATATTAAAAACACGCATAGTCTCTAATTATTGAAGTATTTTATATCAAATCAAGTTTTTAACTAATTTTTACTCAAATTTAAATGAAAAGAAAAGATGAAGATTACTATTCATTATAAAATAAAGTTCTCAAAATATAATTTATATTTACAAAAATAATTGTAGTATTTTTTTTATATGATTTATATATAAATAATGTTTTAATTATAATTATAGCACTATTTTGTTATACTACATTAAAATTTCATCACACATGATAAAAAAAAAAATTTAAATGAAATCCCTATCTCAAGTTAAATTATTTTTATCATTTGTACATAAATTATCATATACAGCGTCAAAGTTACGAGGTCAAATGATTATTCCTGTCCACTAGTGAATTATATGACATTTAGTCTCATATCACTTTTATATTTGGTTAGCCAAACAGTCCAGCATCTTGAATTTACTATCATATTCCAATTTTGTACAAAAAATATATTTTTTATTCCAAACATAGAACAAAATGAAAATAAAAATAAAATAAATAATATTGTTACACAACCTTCATAAATACAATGACAATAATCACTTTGTTTGATTTCCATTTTCAAAATTCACTTTTCAAAAATTCTGATCTTTTGTTTTTTTATATATTTTTTATTTTTACTGATCTTTTTTAATATTTTAAGTATTTTTTTTTAATTTTTAGATATATTTAACATAAATACACTTAAATTTTATTTGGTTCAAATTTTTTGAATTTTTTTTCCCAAATCACTAGATAACCAAACAATTGCACCTAAGCAATCCAAATTTAGTGGATATTTGGGAGTAATTTTTTATATGCAAATGAATTTTTTTTTTAGATTTTTCAAAAAATCAACACTCTTATATTCTTCTCGACTAGACAAATTAAAATATATATACATATATACATTTGAAAAAGGTCCAAAAAAGACAAATAAAAAAGGGCAAATTACACTAATAGTCTCTATAGTTTGGAACCAGTGTCATTTTGGTCCCTAACTTTTCAATTGTGACACATTTGACCCTGAACTTTGAATCTTGTTCCAAATAAGGACAATTGAAGATACCATTGCTTAATTTCAAGGGCAAAATCGTTAATTTGATCAAATATAAACTAATTTGACAAAAATAAAATTTTTAAAAAAATTATTTTTGAATTTTTTAAAATTATTTCTACCCACTAAAGATAAAATTATATAAAATTGATAAATCTCTTAGACATTTATTTTTTAAAAAGTCAAATATGACAACTTTGATATCATTATTAAGCCAATCCATTAAATCAAAAAAATCCAAAACTAAAAATATTTCATATATTAAATATGTCAATTACACATTGAAATCCTAACAACCACTCATTATATGATCATTATCCAAACATATAATAAAAATTAATTTGGTAAAAAAAATAAATAAATAAATGTCTAAAAGATTTATCAATGTTACATAATTTTATTTTGGTTGGTAGAAATAAATTTTAAAAATTTAAAAATATTTTTTGACATTTATTTTTGTCAAATTAGTTTTATATTTTATCAAATTGATAATTTTACCCTCAAAATTAAGCAATGATATCTTAAATTGTCCTTATTTGGAACAAGATTCAAAATTCAGGGTTAACCGTGTCATAATTGAAAAGTCATGGACCAAAGTGATACGAGTCCCAAATTATAGAAACTTCAAACTGGTAGTGTAATTCGCCCAATAAAAAATCAAAACCGCTGTCTTACCACCGCCAACACCACTACTCTACCACCACCAACACTATCATTACCACCACAACCACAATCCTTCCATCTCAACCACCACTATTCTACCTCTACTACACCACCCTTGCACCAAGAACACTATTGTTACCGCTACAACCGCTATCCCTCCGCCTCCGCCTCCACCTCTACCACCACCATTCTACCTCCACTACACCACCCTTGCACCAACAACACTATAATTACCACTAGAACTGCTATACCTCTGCCTCCACCTCTACCACCACCACTCTACCTCCATTACACCACCTTTCCACCAACAACACTATTGTCACCACTACAACCACTATCCCTCTGCCTCCACCTCCGCCTCCACCACCACCACTCTACCTCCACTACACCACATTTCCACTAACAACACTATTGTCACCACTACAACCGCTATCCCTCTACCTCCACCTCCACCTCCACTACACCACCTTTCCACCAACAACACTACTGTCACCACTACAACCGCTATCCCTCTGCCTCCGCTTCCGCCTCCGCCTCCACCACTCTACCTCCACTACACCACATTTCCACCAACAACACTATTGTTACCACTACAACCGCTATCCCTTCGCCTCCACCTCCACCACCACCACCACCACTCTACCTCCACTACACCACCTTTCCACCAACAACACTAACGATACCATTACAACCGCTATCCCTCCGCCTCTACCCCCACCACTACCACTTTACCTCCACTACACCACCTTTCCACCAACAACACTATCATTACCACTACAAACGTTATCCCTCCACCTCCACCTCCACCCCCACCACCATCACTCTACCTCTACACCACCCTTCCACCATCAACACTGTCATTACCACAACCGCTATCCCACCACCACTACTGCCACTTTACTTCCACTACCACCAGTGACCACCAACAGCACCATCATTATCACCATAATTGCTATCCTTTCATCTTTACTACCACCACTGCGGCCTTTACTATGAACACATCTCTACAACAATATAAAAATAAAAAAAAAAATTAAAAGACTATAATATTGTTGAAATTATTAAAAATAATTAGTGTGTTTAGTTTCAGTTTTCTGAATTCAATTTTCTAAAAATTTGAATTTTTTTTAGTGAATATTTTTAAATTTTAACTATTTTTTTATTTTTTTAGATACACCTTACTTAGATGTATCTAAGTAATAAAATATTTATAAAAAAATATTTTAAAAAATTAATAAATACACAAAAAATATTTTTATTTTTTATTTTTTGATATTTAGTGTAATTTTTTTAAACCAAACTAATATTTTTTTGAGCTAATAATTACCAAACTGATAAAATAAAATAATTTCTTCTCCAAGACTCTTGATCTTCTTCTACACAATATATCCACCATACCGAGATGACAAGCATGCACTATCATTTAATGCATGACAAGCTATGAGCTGTACAGAGAAGACCTTTCGTATTTATTTTATTATTATTTTGGTAGATGTGTATTTTTTTATTCTCAATAATCAATAGGTGTGTATTTTTTATTATTATTTTAGTTGATGGTGTATTTTTTTATTCTCAATAATCAATAGGTGTGTATTTTTTTATTATTATTTTTCTTGATGGTGTATGTTTTTTTATTCTCAAGAAAAATCTTTCTGATCCTTACTCCTCCTGCCAACTCATACTCCCGCCAACTCTATATAACCATCAACATCCATCTCATTCTTCAAAGTGGAGTTAAGCTCTGTATATGGCAAATATATAACCAGAGCTTCTGAAGAGTTAACGTTCTGTATATGGAAAATATATAACCAGAGCTTCTGAAGAGTTCAAGCAAGCTGATTTTGGCTTATAAGGCAAGCACCGTTTTATGTACATTCATAATTTTCTCTATTGGTTTCCATTTCTATTTATTTTCTATTAGTTAATTTTTCTAATCTGTTGTATACTTGAATGGTTTCACGCTACAGATTTTGAATGGATTTAAGCCAAAGTATTAACTCTCAAGAAGTTGTGGAAGATGAGGATGTTGAAGAGCCAACTGCTACTCCACTTTGGAAATATGTCACATAAATTTCTGATGAATCGCCCAATTCCAAAGGTAGGGGTGGCTCTGCAAAATTTATATGCAATTTTGGTTGCAAATTGGAGGCATATACTGGTTCTTATTCCCAAGTCCGTGCACACTTAATAGGCAAATTACCAGGCCAACGAGCTCAAGGTATAAAACTATGTCCAAAGGTTAACAAGACTGAGAGGGAGTGGCTAAAACAAGAGGAGCTAGATGCACAACGAATGTTTCTGGGAAATGCCAAGGCCAGAAAATTTCCTAGGTCCACTTCAACATCACAGGTACAATCTCAAACTGTTAGGTCCTCTGATATGCCACACTCAGTCAAAGTTTCAATTGACAACATGTTTTACATAAGAAATAGAGAAGAAGTGGACCAAACAGTTTCTAGGTGTCTTTATAGCAATGGCATTGCTTTTAATGTTGTGAGGTCTCCACGGTGGACAGATATGGTTACTGCTATTAATAATACTCCGAAAGGGTACAAGTCTCCTAATTATGAGAAGGCGAGGACCAACTTGTTGGACAAAGAACAAAGCAAGGTTCAACAATCCCTCAACCCTTTAATGCAAAGATTGGAACATACATGGAGTTTCCATTGTTTCTGATGGTTGGTCAAATTTGAAGAATCAAACTTTGATTAACATCATGGCTGTTTCTGGTGGTAAGGCCATTTTTATTAATGGACATGATGTTTCTTCATAGGAGAAAAATGCAACAAATATTGCTGATTTGTTGATTAAAGCAATTGAATTTGTTGGACCCTCCAATGTGGTCCAAGTAGTTACTGACAATGCCACTAATTGCAAGGCAGCTGGAGTAATAATTCAGCGCAAGTATTCCCATATAATTTGGTCAGGTTGCTTAGCTCATACTTTGAATCTCTTGATGAAAGACATAGCCAAATGTGAGGATCCAGCTTTGTTATTTGTTGATGAATCATATAAGAGGGGTAAAGAAGTGGTTAAATACATAAAAAAACCATAGCTCTTGTCAATACTTGTTCAAAACATTTTCTGGTCTGGATCTTCTCAAAGCAAAGAAGACTAGGTTTGTGCATCATTTCATTGTTTTACAACGTCTTGTTAAAGTCAGACCTGCTTTGTTATCCATGGCTCTAAGCAAACAATGGGAAAATTTGAGAAAAAATACATCATCTCCTCATCAGCATGACATTGTCCACCAAACCATTATGGATGATGATTTTTGGAGAAAAGCAAAAACAGTCCTCACCATCACAAAACACATTTATAAGATGCTTAGATTTTCAGATTCTGATAAGGTTGTGATTGAAGAGGTTTATGAGTTGATGGATACTATGTTAGGGAACATTAAGGATACTCTTTCAAATGATCCTATTGTTTATGATTTGATACATCAATTTGTGGTGGAAAGATGGAATAAGATGAACATTCCTTTGCATTGTCTAGCCTATATTCTTGTTCCTAGGTACTACACAAATTCTTGGTTGTCAAAATCTACCCCAGGTGGTGTGAGAAGAAAAAAACCTCATTTTGATGTTGAGGTGCAAAAGGGGTATCTTGAGGCAATTGAAAAAATGATTTGTGATCAAACTGAAGTTGCTATTATAAGAAAACAAATTAGTGATTTTGTTAGTTGCAAAGGAGTTTTTTCACAACCTCAAGCAGTAAATGATAGAGCAACCATGGATGCACTATCATGGTGGCATTTGTATGGTGGGGCCGCACCTGAATTATATTCTTTAGCATTGAAAGTGTTGTCTCAAAGTGTAAATACTTCTTGTGCAGAAAGGTGTTGGAGTACCTATTCCTACATTCATAATGTGAAAAGGAATAGGTTAAATGTTGATCGAGCTGAAAAGTTGGTTTTTGTGCACTATAATCATAGACTCTTGTCAAGGTATAGGGAGGATTATGAAAATTTTAAAAATTGGGATGCACATCCAGAAGATGCCAACATTTAAGAGGACATTATGACAATAGAAGAAAGAGATAATGTATCACTTTCAGACAGTGAAGATGATACTACTCTTGCAGCTTCAGTTGTTCAACCATGTCCAACTCCAACACCATTGCCTACATCTTCATCATTTCCACTTTCTACTTCTCAAGAGCATTCAATGGAACAGTTAGCAGCACAAAGAAGACTTGAAAAAGCACGTGGCAAAAGACAGAAGAAGTGAAAAAAAAGGCAAAAGAAGTGAAATATTTTGTTATGTGGAATTGTAATATTTTGTTTTTTACCTTAGTTTTTGACTTTCTTTTTGGTTGCTTACTTTTTGGAAATTATAAGAATTAGAGATCCCTTTTAGATGTCAAGTCTTTTTGTTATTAGATGATTAAGAATTAATCACCATGCTTGGTTTTGTTTTTTTGAAATTTTTTTTGAAAAAGTGATTTGAAAACTGTTTTTTTTTTTAAAAAAATGCTTGTTTGGTTTTCCAAAAAATATATCATTACAATTTCAAATTTCCCTTCAAATTAATGATTGAAACAATTAAAAAAACACAAAAAAATCACATCAAAACATTCTCTCATTTTTTTAAATATATATGTATATATACATACTTGGACCTATGAAAACATAATGTGGCATGTACCCATTTATGGGTATATATCTTACTATTAACTGTATCACTTTTTTATAAAATTTCCACTCATTGCAACCATAGAAAACGTAATTTTTTTTTTCTAAATTGGCATTACAAAATTTATTTTGTATAATCAAATTTTCATAAATGTTATGCACAAAATGAAATCATAAATTTGTATTTTCAAAATCGTACGCTTGGCAAATTTATGTAAAAAATTTCAAAATAACCAAAATTTCAGAAAAATCGTAATTTCATAAAAACACCCAATTATTTCAAATTGGCATTAAAAAAAAATGTGAATCGATGTGTAAATTTATTTATGAAATCATAATTTTTTTTACAAATTTACGATTTAAAAGATCATATATTTATGTTTATATTTATTTTGAAAATCGTTGAATTTTCGTGAAATTTAAATAAATAGTCAAATTATTTGTATGAGGGGATTTTAAATCCTGATCAGAAGATTTTGACCAAATCAATAAATGCAGGCATGTGAAAAGGCATGTAGATTGAAAAAATTTAATAAATGCCGATTAAGAGATTTTGACCAAACCAATAAATGCTGAATTTTTTTTTTAAATAAAAAATTTAGAAAATTTTGAATACGTGGCTGTATGTTTTTTCATGTTGGATCTCACACGAGCCACGAGAAGGTCCACTGAAGCCTCTGTTGTACACTAGCTTGAGAGAGAATTTTTTTTTTAAGTACTCATTCCGTCTCAAAATATTAGTCTCTTTTTGGAAATTCAACTTTTTTTTATAGTACAATTATTACATTTGAAAAAAGTTGATTTTTCAAAATTACCCTTTTGATAGTATATCAATGTCATAATTGTACTTTTTATATTGTTTATTAATTTAAAAGAAGGGCAAAATAGGAAATTTATATTATTTTTGTACTTGATTTTGAAAGAGGGACTAATATTTTGAGACAATGAAAAATAGAATAAGGGACTAATATTTTGGGACGGAGGGAGTAATCTATTTTGCACAAATGCCAAAGGTAATAAAGAGGAGCAGAAGTAGGTTCTACTAAAGCCTACCTATTCCCACATCACGTGAATAATCATATGGCTCATTTATTTTTTTGAAAACATAATTCATTTTTTAAAATAATCAAATAAGTTGTATAAAATTTTCAAAAAATTATATTTAAAAAATCACAACCAAACACAGTGAATGATATTTTGTATTAGTGATGAATTTTCTAATGAGATTCTATTATATTTTTGTATAACAATATAAGTCATCAAATTTAATATATTTAAATAAAATCACTCCAAAAAATAAATACATAATATAGTGCATAATTGGACCAAGGATATAGTGCACAGAATTAATGATGAGAATTAGAGATCTCTTTACAGATCTCTTTTAGTTGTCAAGCCACCCCAAAAAATAAGCCACTCCAAAAAATAAATACATAATATAGTGCACAATGTAAGCCACTCCATAATATAGTGCACAGAATTAATGATATTTAATATAAATGAATTTTTGAATTAATTTTTATTTATATATACATAATATACACATATATATATATATATGTATATATAAACGCTTCCCGAGGCGCTCCCAACTTAAGAAACTTCTATTGCTCCCTCTCCCCGCTCCCGCTCCCGGCTCTGCCCCGTTTCGTGCAAGTAAAATCTATTCCCATAAAGTATGAACAAGAAGAAACGAAATAGAATTGCATTCATCAAAGAACAAAACTGATCAGAGACAGAATTTAGTCTTTGAACATCGCAAGGGGATGTAGAATCAGAATGTGCGTCTCCAGCTTTGCAAGCTCACTCCCCCGGACAGTCGTGTACCCCACTGCTAAATGGCATAAATGTATAGGGCTTTGGCACCAAGAAAAAAATTTAGGGAAAAAAAAACTACATAGAGGAAAATCTCAATACTAATCTTGACCATACCTCGAATCTTGATAGATTTAACTTTTGAGGGTTGCTAAAGAATTCTAGATTGTGATGAATATTCTCCAATAAAGACATAACCTTCCAGCCTTCAGGACTAAGGTACCCCTCCGTTGTTTAATTCCTGGATAAACATAGAAGAAATCGGGTTATTTCTTATACAAACTAATGGTTGTTCTGAAATGGGGTTAATTCACTCTCAAATGTTCACATTTTCATCAAAATTTAATCGATTATCTTACCCTTGTATTCTACATCAGCTACCACCTCTCTGAATGTGAAAGATATAATGCTTACTATTCTCAAGCTCTCTCTCTAATATACCTAAAATGTCCATAGCCAAACAAGGATTTCCATGATTAAAATGTGCAAGTTCTTGCATGAAAGTAGAAAGAATAAGTCAGGGAATACTTGCATGAACCAAGTGACATAACAAACTCGATTGCATATTACCTGGAAAACTTGGGCACTTCGCAATGGAGATGGGTTTGGTGGGGGGTTTTGTGGTTTGTCCATTTAAAACTATTACTGATTTTTCTTCTTGAAGTTGAAAATCTAAAATTCACAATTAAATTAAAAAAAAAAAAAAAACCACAAATCAAACAAATTACAACCTAACTTCACATACCTTGAAAAAAAATCAAACCTCAACTTTCAATTCAATCCTCACAATCAGTACTCAAATAAACAAACACAAATTAAAAGACAAAAATCAACAAATGAAGTGCGAATCACCTGATTGATCAAAACTAATTTTCTCAAAAACCGAAATTTTACTTTGGTGGAGACAATTGTAAAGGTTGGAGCTTTATATACAAGAATTGCAAGAAAAGAATGAAAAAATAAAAACCAAAAAATATTATTTTGAAATTTAGCTACCAAACTATACTAACGAGAGAGAGAAAGCAATAGGCCTAGATGTAGTTTACTGTACTATTGTGCCAAAATATAATTGAAGCAATAGGCTTAAATTATTATGTTTAATTATTACTATAGTAGTGGAAGTTGCTTGCAAATTGGTTTATAAAAAGTGGAAGGGAGTGAAGAAGCCAAACAAAGGATGACTTGTTTGACCCAATCCAACAAAGAATACCATAAAGATATAATTAAACAGAGCAAATAAATATCAAAAAATACAGAGTAAAACACATATTAGACATTGCATGTTATCAAGAAGTTCAAATCCACCAATATTCAGACCATCCCTAGATCGTCCAGCAACGAATCGAACAATTTCCTTAATCAAGACAAATAGAAACACTCAAGTGAATAATAAAAATAACAACAACTGGAAGATCTAAACGCAATCTAAAAGAATTCAATTGCAATCGCCAGCAACAACTATAATATATCAATGAAATTAATCAAAGGTCTACAATTGTATATATAAAACCATTGACCTATATATGCAACAATTTTTGCATATGTTTAAAAAGGTATTGATGCTCAGAAATCACAATAAAAATATCAAGAATTGAAATATAAATATGGCCTCAATGAACAACAATTGAAATATTCGAAAATATACGAAGTGGATAGAAAGAGGAAATGCAATGATCGAAGAGAAGAAGAAAGTGCGAACAGAGTGATTCTCGACTGGAAATTGAAACTAAATGAAATGAAATCGTGGAGAACAAAAATCACGTACCTATGAAGAAATCGCAAAGAACAAAATTCCAATCGAATGCAAAAGTTGAATCCAAATAAAAACTAAAATTTTATTAGATAAGCCAAATAAACTCTACAAAAGCTGAATCCAATGCCATAATCATATTCTGATTTAGAAAATCATATTCTAATTTCCAAAATTTAGGTCTTTGATTTCTGATTGTGCAACCCAAATAAAGTATTAATGTGAAAAATACAATAAAACAAACAACAAAATGTGGAAAGAGACGAACCTGGTGAGCTTAGTTTGCAAATAACATGAACTTAGTTTTGTCTTATAGTGCTCTATGATTGATAAGCTGTGACTTAATGTATGTGATTGCATAACATAAAATAAAACACCACAAACTAATCCAAAGGTGAAAAATCTTTATGAAACTTTCCATGATATTTGTTTCATGAAGTATAACATTACTCGTAGAATATATACAGAAGTTCACAAGGATTACAAAATGAATCTGCATAAGCCAAATACATTAAAAATGACGTAGTTATCAGATATGGCCATAGCTCTAACGTCTCATCTACTAACCCATTGAAATTAATAGGTTAATCACATGTTTCATCAATGGCAGTTTGATTCAGTTAAAAAAGTTTTAATAAATTTGGACAAGCTAATAAGTCAAGTTAATCGACTTAAAAATAAGGAGCAACAATAGGGCATCCACAGTGGGACTCCCACTAATGTCAGACGTTTAGATGTAACCAGCTTGTACATATTTGCTGAACAATGTAACGATTGAGGAAAATTTTGACGATAAGTTTGTTTGTTTGTTTTTTAATCTTTTGTCTTACACATTAAGGGGCGTTTGTTTCATGGGATTGAGGCATTGGATTGGAGTTCATGTCCAATAGATAAACTAGTCCATTGTTTGATTAGAAAAGTGAAAATTGAACTATAGTCAAATACACATAATTTTGAACCAAATAATCAAGGAACTATTTATCTCAAGACTAACAATCCATTGTATTGCAATCTCCCTTCGTCTAGTCCATCCAAATAATCACCCCCTAAGGGGCTTGTAAATTCTAACGTCTCATATAAAGAAGAGAGAGATAAAAGTTTTGTGTCAGACACCTATTAAGAGGCATGATAATTGTGAATATTATTCTTACATTTGAGAGAGAGAGAGGGCAATGTTGCAAGTGCTGCGGGTGTTGTCTCACTATACTTTTGTAATAATTTTAGTCTATGTGCTGTTTAACATCTACTAAGTTTAAGCGTGACAATCGTTTTTGGACCATTCAAGAGTCGAATCTTCACTCATTTTGACATTTGTTGGTCCAACGCTTTGTCAAGTAAGAATAAATCCCACGAAGAAAGCTTTGCTTTCTCGAATGCCACAAGTAGACTTGATGTCTAAAGTGCACCAACCACGGCTCATGTTACTTTATAGCACGAAGCTCGCTTATGAGTAAAACACTTGTCGAATTGAGGTTCATGTCATCAAGACGCTTAGCCACACAAAGATGTGCTAGTGAAGACCCTTGACCTAGCTCACAAGCTTCCACAGCATGAAGGGTCTCATGTTGCGTGTAACGACCCAGAACCGTATACGATGATTACCAGTAATTAATTATGTGTTAGTATGATTTGATTGAAGATTATCTGTTGAACTTAGAAAATACCTGTTGAGATTACGACTTCGGGACTGGAATTGATGACCGTAATGGGTTCAGAAAACGAAATTGAACACGCCTATGTGATACCGGGAATTTTTAGAACCATTTGAGGAAAATAAATTAAGAACTGAATTTCGTCTGATTCGTTAGGCCATGTTTGGCTCAAAGTTTGGCACAATTGTTTATAAATGATATATAGATAAGTATAAGGGCCTTTATTGACTCTTTGACTCAAAAACAAAAGAGAAGAAAAAAATCTAGAAAGGAGAGAGAGAGAGAATTCGTGAGAAAGGGGAAGAAGAGGAGGAAAGAGAGAGTCAAGCTAAATCTTCTACAATTAAGTGATTAAGGTAAGGATTCCTCTCTAATTTCTTGAAATAAGGTTGATACATCAATGATCTCGTGTTAAATAAGAGGATTGAAAGGGGAAATATGTTTAATTTGAGCATGCATGGCATGAATAGATGATTTATGGCTATATTTGTCATATTTTGAGGAAGAACCTCCATGGATTTAAGAATGAAGCTTTTATGCTCAAGTTTATGATTTTCTATTTTACTCCAAGATTTGAACTTCTATTGTTCCATATGGGTTTTGATTTGAAGTTTTGATGTTGATTTAAGATGGGTTTTAAGTGTTTTGGGTCTTGGATTTCATAAATGTGGAAAGTGATTTTGTAAAGAGGAGAATGAAGCTTGGAAGAAGAACCAGAAATTCGGATTTTGCTCTGTACGCTCGAGCGGAGGGAAGCCCGCTCAAGCGGTGAAAACAGCCTCCCAGCGGTTTTGGGACTTTTTACAGTACGCTCGAGCGGCCAAAGTGGCGCTCGAGCGGGACGGCCTTTTTCAAGAAAACTTTGGGGAAGTTGCAGACTTGATTTTAACATGTTAATTGCATCATTTATCATCTTATGAACATGAAATGAGTATGAATCAAAGTAAAGAAAGATTAGAATGAACATGAAATGAAGTAAAGGAAAGAATGAAGTGCATGAATTACAGGATTTAATGAGAATGTGTATTGAGAAATGTGTGATATGTTGATATTTGCAGGTCAAGATTTGAAGACCGTGCATTCGGTTTCGGAAACCCTCTGTGAGTAACATTTCTGTAAAGATATGTTATTATGAACTATGTTTTAAATGTATTACGTTATGCTATGCTTTGAAATGAGAATGTTTTCCGTGAACGAATGTCCTGATTTGCGAATCTAGTATGGCATCCATAGATAGTTGGGTCATGGGGGCGGGAACATGCAGGCCCATGCGTCATGAGTCATGGGGAACGGCATGGAAGGACAAGCCCATGACTAGTTACGAGATCGCGTAGACTGTTATGAAAGGTTCTGTGGAGTATGCCATTACGTATGTTCTTATGATGACTGATGATTACGAGATCTCGGTATGTGTTTAATCGGTGTCCGGGACCGGTTACTCTAGTCGTTGGACGACAAATGTTATGTTCTATGGAGTATGCCATTATGTATGTTCTGATATGAGATGATTATGTTTATGGATGATTTATTTTATGGTATATGAATGTGGAATCCGTTCACTACCCCTTTACGTTAATGTTACTTGCTGAGCTTTAGCTCATTGTTTGTATATATGTATTTATAGGTGAGCACTCTGGGAGTCAAGCCTAGGCGGGGTCCGAGCCGAGCCGCCGTTTTGAAGCCTACCCGGTGTTTTGGTGCCTCCGAGTTGGGGCTAGGCCTAGAAGGCCGTTAGGAAGCTTGGTTTTGGTTGTGCATGTGGCGTGAGCCTATGTTTTGTACATGAATCTTGTTTATATGTGATGTACAGTTAGTGGGTAAATTAACCACATTTTTGGCATGTAATGTATGTTCATATAAATGCACAGCTCTTTGGACTATTAGTGGTTATTGTTTTCGCTTCCGCGAGCCCCTTTTTATTTATGTTTTGTATAGCAAGGCCTGTGGTAATCTAGGATTACTGGCCGGTCTCGTTGCCAAACTTCTAGGGGCGAGTTTGGGGCGTGACAATGGAAACTGAGGCTCAGTTGTGTTGGGACCAAATTCCCAAGACCCAGTGATATCACGTATAGATTAGACTCCAAAAAAATTACAATGATCTATAAAATACTACAAGGTGGAATTAGGGTTTATACCTTTGAGATCTATCTAGTTTGATACCGTTTAAATCACGAACAAAAGATTATAGTTGATGAATTCCGAACTCGGTTGCACCTTACGATCTTCTACCGTATTCCTTCCTTATGCCT